CCCTGGATCTGGATGGACAGACTATTGCACAGGATCTATCGGAAGCTCCTTACTGGCAGATAGATTTAAATTTTGGAACACTCAGCAAACTCTACACGAGTCCATTCAAGAATGGGAGGTTAAGGTCAGACACGTGGGCAGCTTATGCTCGTACAACGCACTGACCGACAAAATGTGCCGCGACAAATTCGTTTTTGGCCTACATGATGGCACAATGCGAGCTGAGCTACTCAAAACACACTTAAATTCGGATGGAACACCTAAGACTATGGAAGACGTTGTAACCAAAGCCAAAGCCCTTGAGTCGGCTTAAAAAGCCAACAAACTAATCGCAGATGCCTCAAAAGGAATCGAGGAACAAGTAAATTGGATAAGCCATAAACAGATGAAACTAAAGCGGGAGCCCGGTACCTGTTTTTGGTGTGGAGATCGACGCAGACCTCATCCTTGGAAAGCATGCCCTGCAAATGGCAAAACCTGCACCAAGTGTAGAATTAACAACCACTTCTCTGGAGTCTGTCTTGAGACAAACCCCCTGCAACAAGAACAACCACAAAGAACCATCCAGTGGCAACCCCAAGGCAGGGGTCAAGGCCATAGAACACCTCGCGGCTGCTCCCAACCAAGACCCCCTCAAGAACAAAACATACATCTGCTGCAGACGACAAATGACCAGCACCCTGTGACATATTACACGGATGATTATCAGGAACAGTGCTACTCCCTGGAAACACGACAAATACAGTGTCCATACAGACCACACAAAGAAAAAATACTTTGTTACTCTGCCCATGTCCACAACTGGGAACAAATTCACCCCAGTGACATTCCAGATAGATACCGCTGCCACCTGCAATACCTTGTCCGAAGATGTCCTTCTCAAGCTGACGCCAAATATGAAGCTCACAAAGTCACCCTACCTACTCCACCCTTACGGCGACTCCCCGCCACTGAAACCGCTGCCAGTCTAACCAACCCCACAAAGACAGGCCGTACGGTGACCCAGGAACGCCCTCGCACTCCAAACCCATAAAGATCCCATGGAAACGACAGCTGGCCCCACCTGGGAAACTCACAAAGGAAGATATACTGACACAGTATCCTAAAAACTTCAAAGGCCTTGGCTGCCTGGGAATCACCAACCCGAAGTGAGAACCTGGACCAGACTCATCAAACCACCAATTAGGTTCAGAGACTTTGAACCCAAGTAACGGCCACCACTCATGCTTCAGATACACACCCGGTGCTGCTGTCACTACTCAGGAACACTATCCACTTCTCTTCACTATTACTACATGTACATGTACATGTTTTGCTCCTGCTTTTGTTTTGTTCTTTTTTTTTCAAAGAGGGGGGGATGTTGGCCCGTCACCCATACTTAAGCCCCCTCTGAGGGAAACTACATACGGGCTACAGGCATCATGTTGTAGTTACTTAGAGCTCCTCGTGCTCGAGTTTGGAAATAAAGATTGTTCACGTTGTTCACTGAGTCGTCCTTGCCACCCGACTATCAGATCCATTAGGGTTTTGATAACTGGGATGTAGATTTATCAGTTTCCATGGTGTGCATTTTTAATAGACCTGTCAACTGTTTCCCATAGAATTGTTTTAGGCACATGCTTTTTAATGTGCCAAATACTGTTGAAGACTAGAGTAACAGTGAAGAAGCTAGAATGAGGTAGCAGTATTCAATTTATAGACTGGCAACATGGTTCCTTGATGCTGGTAGAATACTTTGTTTTCAGTTGACAGACTAAGTTTATTTGAGGATAAAAACAGTTCTCTCTTGTACCACAAAGTTAATAAGCTGTTGGCACAAAAAACACAGTCAGATCAAGTGGCGGTTGAAAAAGCAAACAAACGATCATGCATCTTTAAAATGATCCTAAAATAGATTGGCAATCCCCTCATTCACCAATGTTAATTACATAGAAATGAGTAACGGATATTCACTACGGGGTGGAGACTGCTTATCAGGACCAAGATTCAAAACTAGATTTATGAAGGATTCACTGGCTTACAGAGGCGCCGTTCCGTGGAATACGATTGTCTCAATGAGAACGGAACATCGCATCTGAGCAACAAAGATCGATATCTGATAAGAACAAAAGATTATTTCAAGGATTTTAAATTGGAGACTACTTCTGCCTCAACAATGCGGTGTAGAAATGCAGATTTTATCTATAATTGATGATTATATATGCATATTTTAGTGATATTTTACCTATTCAGTTAGGATTTTATCTTGTAAAAAAAAAATTATTTTAACGTATAATTCATAATGCACTAGTTACCAATCTTGTCAATATTTTGACATTTTATTTACATTAGGATTTATGTCTTTAATTATAAATACACGACCCGACAAGCTTGTAGCTTTAAATTTTTATCGTGTCTAAATAAAGGTCATCCATCCATCCATCCATCCATTCTCTACATGAAATGGACGCGAACTGTAAACAAATGCAGACAAAAGGTGGGCAGTCAACTCATGATATTCAAACAGATATGCCAGCAAAAACAGTCACTCCAACCAACTGAGATATTTAACCGAAATGGACACTTAACGTGATAATGTTGAAATGCAAAGTTCAAGTTCTATAAATTCTTCAAAAGCCAGAAGGAAAAGTCACTTACTACTGCTAATAATAGATGCACAACAGTATATACTGCCTTCTTTTACACAAACTCTGCATGTAAATACTCACATGTATCACGTGCATAATTTGAGTAAATTGCACGCAAAAGCAGTGCTTGCATGCATCCCAACCAATGAAGAACATTTGAACAAGGTAGGCTTAGACTTGCTTTGTTGCTAAGTGAGATTTTATGCTCTATTGGCTCATTCAGCCAGGTTTCCAAGATAAACAAGCTACACAGTGTCACAAATGTTTATGCATGATCATCATGTCCTTGAAGCATGAGCAATCCATTCTTTCACTAAGATTAACACTCTATAATGTTGCAATAAGAGAGAGGAGAAAAAAGGAACCAACATGTAACCTGAATATGACATTAGTAAGCAGCAGATATCTGAGTATCCACAAGAACAAGGAAAAGATCAAAAAGTTTGCTAAAAACTGATAGACCAGCAAAGGATGGAAGAGTACCTCTTTGAAAGTTGTACATGATGAACAGTGCAATAAGGCCCTTTGTGCCTAGTTTAGCCATGAACATCTGTCTTTGTATGGTCTTCTTTAGAAGATGAAAGTAGCAGAAATGAGGAAGATGAAGGCCAGGATGAGAAATAGGTCCACAATGCGTACATGTGTGGCTTACAAAATTGAGCTGTCTGATGTCTTATTGAGTTTCTATTAGAAGAGCTAATGTCTGATTACAGTGAGATGGTTTTCAATATTGTTCCTGTTTGTCATAAAATAAGATAACTGGTATAGAATAGTACCGAAATGTTCATTTTCAACATGAGGGTTAACCTATTGACGTCCAGTGTGCCCATATGCGCCCATGGGGACCCACACCCTTTCTACGCCTTGTGATGTCATCACTTTTAACCCTGGAGCACGACTTTGAGCACGTACTTGAACAGGTTGAAAATATCTTACAAACGATACCAGAATGAGCGCAATTGAGTGAAGGAGATTGGAGAAATAGCCAAAAAACCATGTAACTTTGACCTGAAAATTTGGATGAAAATCTTGTTCCATTACCCACCTACCTTTCTGAGCATGTGGTTTGAAAATAATGAGTAGTTTCTGAAAAATCTCTACACCACAATGAAGCCTACTAAATTTCCAGCAAGTGAGGAGAAACTTCAGGCAAGGAGAGGGGGAAAAAAGGGCAGGAGAAAGAGAGAAAATTAAAAGTCGTAGGTGGGGCATTACTTTTCAGCCCAAAAACTATCTCCAAATTTTGCTTTCTGCGCGTGCCCAAGATTTTCAGGCCGCCATTTTGCATTTGGATCGAAAGGCCGTCGAGTGTACAAGCTGTCAAGGGGTTTTTGGCAAGTTTGAGCTTTTAAAACCACATCAGTGACCCGAAAGCTGCTCGACTAGCTTCAAAACACAGTTTTCCACAAAAGCTGCAGCCATTAGTGGGTTAATAGCCAAACTTTGTTATGGACGCCTAATTTTGACAAAAAAGGTAACTTGAAGATTTTAGGAACTAAAAAAAGCATCAGCATCATCTCCCATGTTGGCCTAATAGATTCAGTCATGATTTTGTTTACATAATGAAGTGGAATTGAGTTCTGAAGTTTGTAGGTCAATTGTCTTTTCCAAGGCAAGTGATGTAAAATAAACTCATGGGAAGCATTTTATAAGAATATTTTTGGCCTTTTGTGTCCCAGTACATGAGGGCAGAATTTGCCAGAAAGGCCAAAACATTCGGAAATTGATGAAATCTACACTAGAAGCCATTAGGAGCTTGATTTGGTTTGAATGTATCACTAATTTTCAACAATGCGTATGTGTAAAGTAACACAATGCTGAGTGTAGGTTTCTATTAGGGCACAAAATTCTATTTTCAGTTGGTTGGGAGAAAAATGTTTACTCTAATTATTGTATTTGGGTTTTGTGGGAGTGTATTTTCAATAAAGAACACAGGAAAATTTAGTTCAGGTAGGTAGATATGGGGTTGCAAATGGAAGAGTCTAGGGAAAAAAGATAGATGAATAACAAGATCAGAACACAAGCAATGCTTTAATGAATCATATGTTGGGTGGTACTCTGCAGTAACATTATATTAAAACTGCTACTACTTTTTAACCCAATAAGATTCACAATTTGACCTGGAGGTTTTATTTAACAGAAAGTTCAATAGATATAAGTGTCACCATAATAGATTTCAGGAACAGTAATCGGTGACAGAACTTAAACACAGCAGAGTTCAATGTACAGGCAAGTGGATGATGGTATCATATGATTTAAAGTACCAGAATCTTTCAAGTTTTTTTATTATTGATATTGTTATTTCATGCCAGGGTGTTTCCCAAATTCAAGCTATGTGGAGACATGAAAATAATGAAAATAATGAAAATAATGAAAAGATGAACTTGACATCATCATGTAAATGGTCAACTTGACATGCTGCCAAAATTTGTCCTTCAGCTGAAATCTTGCTCAGGAATGCACTTTTGTCAGCTTCTATCAATATACCTAAAAAATTCAAGCTTTTGTTTATATCGGTCAGCTTCTTTGTATATCAATCAGCAAAACCTACTTCTTGTCAATCTGATTGTTTTCTAGAGTGATCTATTGTTGCTGAGCCTACCAGTTGGTTTACATTTGTACTTGAGTAATTGCCTTTCCCCTAGTGATACATAGAAAAGACACCTAGCTGTTTTCAGTCAATCAAGAGTGTAATTTTTCATGTATATCAGTATTGTGATGAATTAACCAAAACCAAACAAGTAACTGAAAAGAAGTTGTAGTCTACCAAATAAATGCCTAATACACATGTCTTGTTACCAAGTTTAAATACCAATGCTCATCTGAACCATTATGAAGAGAATTTAGAAGACTGCCAAGCTTACAGGAAGTCAAGAAATGTTAAGGTCTGAATAATTCTGGACATTACTTGGAAAACATAATAATAATCACGTTTCAGTTGTAACATTAAACTACTAGGCTCTAGTCCTATAAGCATTGTAGAAAATCATCTTTGAAAACCAAAACATCACATCATTCCACATTTTGTGTTATCCAAAAACCTGTCAATACTGGCCATAGTCTATAGTTCTTGTCGATGCTATGTATAGAAAATTTCTAACTCATGTTGGGTTGAAGAGACTCGAGGAGCTGATTGAGGTTTTGTGATCGAGCAAGTGAGCAAGCGAGGTTCAACTAGAAAAATAAATAAAAATACACGAGAAAAGGGGCCAAGCAATGATAAACATACAAGACTGAATTTAAAGACTTACAAATGTTTTCCTGACTGTAGCGATGGCACCAAAGCTTAAGTTAAGAGTCTAAGATCGGCAACGAAAACTTCGGGCTAGAGAATACGTTGAAAAATTTCCTCGCTAACAAGCCCTAGCATTTAAATAGTTCTAAAAGGCAGAAATGATAAGCTAACACAAAAATTCGCACATGGAATCCTACACTGGCAAGTAAAATACATTTAAATAGAAACATGATAAGATATCCTTTGTTTCTATGAAATTGTCATAAAAGCTAATCCTTGACCAGTATTGTACAATCGAGATTCCCATACTTACTAGTACTTTTGTCATTTTGAAATACGCCTCCATGAATTCTCGACAGTACAAGGAGAATGCAACTACAATACAACTTATTTCACTTTATGGAACTTCCAGGAGGCTTAAGACAATTTCAAACACTTTCAAACTCTTTCAGAGACTCAGTGGTGCAACCCGCACCAATAGATCAATCCAATCGTTGTTGGCTTGCAAGAGAGCAAATTATGACTCCTTTCAGTGTTACAGTAGTACAACTCGTACCGAAGATTCAAGCTGTTATATGTTGTCTTAGAAGAGTGTTAAAGCTCTTGCACAAGCTGCAGTCATAACACAAGCCGGTTCTAGGTGCTTTGGCTTGTGTGAGGAGAACTAACTCGTCAAACGATCACCTGAAAAAAAATTACTCGAGACCATGCTTACAACCAAGATGGCTGACTCAGACTAATACGCCTTGCGATACTAGACCACGTGACATGCATTTGACTCTCGTCGACAAATAAATAAATAAATCCAATCATGCCATAGTGTGGCTACACACTTTGTGTAAGCCACACAAAAATTGTTTGGAACTCTGAAGCTGTTGAGTGTTTTAGAAAGTGTTTGTTGTAGATTGAAAGACAGGACAATGTTGGCACTATTTAGATAACAGATAATGCAGCTTCAACCAATGATGGAACTCTCAAAGCAAATGTAATGTTCTTCTTTAGAAAAACTGACTCACCTCAACACTTAAGGCCTACATAAAAACATTTTTCATTTATCTTAATTGTTGATACACACATGTAGAGGTTTTCACAATGGACAGTGAATATGTAGAACATACTTTTTTAAAATGATTTGTATATGTTTTGTTTTACCCTCTATTATTCAGATTAATTCATGTAGTCCCAACAAGCCAGATAATCAAGGTTCAACTGCAGCATGGTTCCCAAGATGACCTTACAACCTTCCCTTACCCAGGTCTTAAAATGTACAGTCATGAACATAAAAAAAATTTAGCTTTGACTCCCTAGAGAATTGCAAGATTTTAATTGATTGCCATAATTCCTTTACTACAAATTTCAAGGAAATTTCTTTTACTGAAAAACTTTGCAGATCAATTAGTACAGCACATGTTCCAGCCCTATTGCAGGGGTTTCATTAAGGGCCAGGCAATCAATCAATCAATCAAAGTTTATTGTCTAACGTGAGGCATGGTTGCCCAATTGCCCGAGCCAGAGGCTCATGTATAAAACGGTAGACTAGGCACCAGGCAAATTGACCGGTTGTGAAGACGGTTTTGCCCACCTGATTTGACAGTCTGGAGGAGAGTTTTGCCCGCCTGTGAAAACCAGTTGCCCTCCTGCAGAAAACATTAATGAAACCCCTGCCTATGAGCTTGAAGGCTGCAAAATTTATGGAGTCAGTAACAACAAGCTTCCAACTCAAAAAAAATAGAGAAGAGAAGAGAACTTTCCTTCCAGCATTTTCTAACCCTGTCAATGCAAAAGAATGACATGCAATTTTGTGAAGCTAATCTGGGGAAAAAATATTTAGTGTCACAATGAAATTTTTCTACATATTTTTAAGTCATTTTGCAAAATAAAACAAAGGGAACTACATTTATGCAAACAAAAACAGAACTTGAGCTGAGCAGGAAAGTGAAAAAAAGTGACAATGTCACTATTATGTCTCACATGTTAGAAAATAAACCTTTAATTCCATTTTGATATTGAAACACAAATTGCAGTGGTTCGTTTACTGTTGGCAACATCATGCTTGAGTTGAGTCTCTCGTCCATTACAAAAAAGAATAATAATTACAAAGTAATATAGTCCTTCTGCTCAGTGTGATATTGTTTTAAACCAAAACTACGATAAGATTACATTATGTGAAACTTTGTTTAAAGTACAGTATGTAACATGCTAGTCAAGTCAGGGTGATTAGATCACAAAAGCATATAAAAAGTTTATTTAGTGGGCTAAGATCTTTACAGAAGGAAGGTTTCAGTCGAGGTGAAGTAGACCGCCTATTTGGCACCTTAGTTTTACCAAATTTCACTCATGATCTGCCTGTTTATGGCCCAGTATACTCAGATCTCACACTCATACAAAACTTTCTGGACAGATGCTTCAAAAGGAAATACACATCTAAGAGAATGGACATTCAAGAACTTTTAGAAAAGGCAGATAAGATTTTCAAGATACATTCAGTGGATCATGATTGCCCTCTTAGTAACATCATTGCAAAAATGAAAGAAACAAAGTACCAACTCAGAAACAAAAGTGCTCATTCCCCGGATGTAAAGACTGCGAGATTTAAGAATGTTTCTGTAAATAGGCTTATTTTTAAATATAATCTCTGATCTTTCTATTATTTGTATATAGTATGTCTTGTGTATTTCTATATTTCTATTATTTGTATACAGTATGTCTTGTGTATTTTTAGACTCCTAACTGCTGATGTAACTTAACCCATTGACACTTACGTGTAACACCTGCCCACAAAAAGTCAAAATTTTCGAGAAACCAAGAAGGCAAACACAATGCGCAGTAAATTTTTAAAAATCAGCTTTTCCAAAAAACAAGCTCCAGTGAAAAAGGACTAGTTAAAGAACTTATTTCCGGCGAAAAAAGTGATAGGTGCATATTACGTTTTAACTCAAAAATCAAGATGACAGATAAAAATCACTAAATATTTTCGCATGTGTGAAAATGGGCATGTGGCCCAGTAAATATTATGCGAGAGTAACAATGTGTTCAAAAAGTTTTTTTGCCTCAAATCATATTTCAAAAGGGAATATGCAAATTTGTCCTTGAGTGAAGAGATCTCAAGTTCCATGGAATCTGTCAATAGGAAGCAAGACTAAAATGGCCAAGAAATATTTCGGGACATCAGATTTATTCAAAACAGTTTTTGATTTGCTGTTATAAGCGAAAAACGTACAAATTTCTTATGTGTTCAAAAGCCCACATAGTAAATTCATCCTGCTTAGATCGTTGTTTACTTGCCTTCATGGCCAGAAATTGCACAGCATTGTGTTGAAAATTCTGAAAAAACTTTGATTTGAGGCAAAAAAACTTTTTGAACACATTGTTCCTCTAACATAATATTTACCGGGCCATCAAATCGTCAAATTGTCGCCAGACCCTGCTTGAAGTCCGAAAGTTTGGTTTTCACTTTACGTCCACAATTTGCATCGCCTTAGAGAATCGTAGTGTCGTTGACTCAAGAGCTTATTCTGTCACCTTTAAGACCTGGATATCCATTCTTTTCCAAGCAGAGTATTCTATAGTATTGTTACTTTTCATATTGAATTCCACAAGGTCTAGCTCGATCGCAAATGAACAAAAAATCCAACCTGAAAATTTTGAGGGTCAGCCGCGTGGACGTCATATTTTCAAATTTGATCATTTAGTGAAGACACATAAAATAATGCCCCTCTAGTTCCCCCTAAAGTCGACAAAATATATGCGCAAACAACGGATTCTGATTGGCTTATTGATCTCCAAACTATAGAGGAAGTTTGGGGACAAAACTCTACTTAGTAGGGGAGGTAGGGGGGTAAGCGTTCTCACGTGAGCCGATCGCGAGCTTCGGGCGGTTACAGGCAGTTCAGGTGTCAGTGTGTTAAGATATGTCTTTTTATCTTGGGAGGAATAAAGATTGTTTTTTTTTTTTTGGTTATTTTTTTTAGAAATACATGAAGAAATATTAGGTTTTCAACATTGAGAGAGTTCCGTTACAAAAGTAATACAAGCGACTAAACCACTGGCACACTCACGGCACGAAACAGCCAACACCCAGCGTGCTTTGCTAGAGCTTGACCCTTGTTCAGAAAAGCGGATTTTACCGCGAAAAGTACCATTCTCATAACAACAGTATGCAACGGCCAACATTTTCAAA